TTTTTAATTTTTACATTAATTCTTCCTTTATATTAGTTTAATTTTTAATTTTTACATTACTCTGCATATTTACATTTATGCATATTGTAACAGAGATACAATAATGGGTTTGGCAGCAGTTTCTTTCCCCTGGAAAAATATATTTTATTAATTTTTATCTCTAAAATTCTTAGGGTTTTTTTTTTTTTTTTTTAGTATGGGACATATAATACTACTTATTTCATCATCTGAGTACTGTTATGAGATGGTCAACTTTCAGTGGCTGGAACAATGCAGTGACATTACTCAAGCAAACAGGGATTGGGATATTAAATGATACATTATTGTAAAACTAAAGATTCACTCAGATTGAGCTTGACTCGTAGTCATTTCATAGGCTGTAGAGGACATAGGGAATTGCCTTGGAGAACAAGAGGAAGAGCCACTGCCAAGGCAATGGTCAGATATAGTAAGTGGGGTTTGACCCCACTCCAAAACCTAATTTGAAAAAAGTCTCAGACCCCTACCTAGTTCACATGAAGATGAAGGGAAGATGCGGAAAGCATATTCAGACTGTTGCTATAGCTGTTATAATAAAAGTAGTCCTGACCTAGATGGCATTGATTTCTTAATCTGGTCTACCTTGTAGGCACACAGGTAGTCTTGTTTACAATAAAATAGAAGATATTTGCCATTGCCTTCTTGAGATATCTTTTCATTTCCAAGTGTGACCTACAGTCCTGGACTTTCATGAAGCTCTCCTACACAAAGAGTAACTAGGTCTGACTTTGTTAGTGTTTCTGAGACTACTTGGATAGGAAGTACATGACCTGCTGTTGTTAGTAGACTTATTTATTTGTTGGCTTTGATATGTTCAGCCTAAAACAATATTTTGTATGTTTTTCTTCTCCCTAAAAATAATGGAAAGTTGTGGCAATATGATTAAAGTTGTATATAATTTTTATTAAAACTTTTAAAAAATAAGATAAAAGCTAATACAAACTAATATAAAATAAAGGAAGAAAAGAGAAAAAGAAAGAAAGCAAAGTGAAAGCAAAAAGTGCAAGAAAAGAAAAAAGTTAAAGAAAAATAGAAAGGAGAGAAAAAAAATACAAAGCAGTGGCTTCCAATATTTTTCACAGCAATTATAAGTACAATTATATTTTAACCTCTCTCTCTAAAGATACATCATAATACTCTTCCTTCTATATTCTATCCTGTCTAATTATGAAAACCATAAAGCACAAGTTCATTTTTTTCATTTTTATGCAAAAAGTCCATAAGAGGTTTCTTTGTTGTTCAGTCATTAAGTTGTGTCTGACTCTTCGTGACCCCATAAACCATATTGCGCCAGGCCTTCCTGTCTTTCAGTGCCTCCCAGAGTCTGCTCAATTTCATGTTCATTGCTTTGGTGATGCTATCTAACCATCTCATCCTCTGCTGTCCCCTTCTCCTTTTGCCTTCAATCTTTCCCAGCATCATGTCATGGTGAAGGGGTTTGCTTAACTCAATAAAGCCATGAGCTATGCCATGCAAAACCACCCAAGATGGACAGGTCATGGAGAAGAGTTCTGACAAAACGTGGTCCACTGGAAAAGGAAATGGCAACCCACTCCAGTATCCTTGCCAAGAAAACCCCACAGACAATATTAAAAGGCTAAAAGAGGTTTCTAGTCACCAATAAATATAGATAGTGTTTTTCTCTAATCAAAGAACTGGAAAAGGAAATGGCAACCCACTCCAGTATCCTTGCCAAGAAAACCCCACAGACAATATTAAAAGGCTAAAAGAGGTTTCTAGTCACCAATAAATATAGATAGTGTTTTTCTCTAATCAAAGAAATTAGTTTATCCATCTCACCAAGATCTGTCAATTTCACCAACCATTCCTCCATAGTGGGTAGTGTTGAATATTTCCATCTCTGAGTATATAATAATCTCATTGCAGTAATCATATATTGAAATAATCTTCCATGGCTTTTTTCTGTTTATTCATTAGTCCGAAAAGGAAAAGTTCTGGCTTCAATTGAATATTAATCTTTAAAATCATCTATATCAAAGTATGTATTTGAATCCTTTTTTTTTTTTTTTTTTAGTTTTTTATGTGTCCACCAAGCATGATAAAATGTCCCTTCATGTTGTTCACATTTCCAACATAAATTTGAAGTGCCTCTATACATCCTAGATAATTTCTCTGGCATCATATACCAACAATACATCAATGATTAAAGTGGTCAGTTGGTTGCCTATCCCTCATGTACAAGAATAGAAAATACAGAATATTCTGTAATTTGTCAGATATTTTAACAAAGATTAAAGGAGCATCTTAAAGAGCATGATTCAAAAAGTTAAAGCTTGATATGTTGCTCCACAGCAGTTGAAAATGTATAAACAGGTTTCCCAAATATCTGTAGAGTCCTATAATAAGTACAACTATTTTCAATTATACTTCCTAGAAAATGTGTTAAGGACCAATACTGCTTGATTTAGAAGTAAGACCAAATTCTAAATAGTTCTGTGATGATTCAACTCTAGGTATTGTTAGGAATTTAACAATATAAAAACATAATAACACGCAATCTATTTAAAGAATATAAAGTCAGGGATCTGAACAAAACCATGATAACTTCTCACTACTAAACCAAAAAGCATTTTTTTATATTGAGCTTTCAACCGATTGGAACAAACAATTGATTTAAATAATGTGGGGAGAGGTTCATTTTTTTGTTTTATTTTCTGTTTCACAGATTTTTGAATGTTTAATACAAGGAAACCTTGAGTAATACCTTGTTAGTAAAAACAAATTTATAAGCTAATTGCATGGGAAATCAGAACAAAGTAATTGATGATGCCTGACCAATTCATTGGTCAAAGTCATTTACTTTTTTGCATTATTGTGTAAAGTGCCAATAATAAATAAAAATTAATTTAGAAACATAGTTCAGAATTGTTATGTTATTTATTAAGTTTGTTTGGTTCACTTTTCAGGTTTGGGAATATCTAGTACAAGCAGTCCTTTGACAACACCTGGTTAGTAAATATAGAATGTAAAACTGCATATTATAGTTTATTAATTAATGAAAATTGCTTGACAAAATTAACCTTTTTTTTTTCCTTCTTTCTTTTGTTTGTTTGATTCACTTACAGGTTTGGGAATATCTAGTACCAGCAGTCCTTTGACAACACCTGGTTAGTAAATATAGAATGTAAAACTGCATATTATAGTTTATTAATTAATGAAAATTGTTTGATTCACTTACAGGTTTGGGAATATCTAGTACCAGCAGTCCTTTGACAACACCTGGTTAGTAAATATAGAATGTATCACTGCATACTATAATTTAATTAATTAATGAAAATTGCTTGACAAAATTATCCTCCTCCTCCTCCTTCTTCTTCTTTTGTTTGTTTGGTTCACTTTGCAGGTTTGGGAATATCTAGTACAAGCAATCCTTTGACGACACCTGGTTAGTAAATATAGAATGTAAAACTGCATATTATAGTTTATTAATTAATGAAAATTGCTTGACAAAATTATCCTTTTTTTTTCCTTCTTTGTTTTGTTTGTTTGATTCACTTACAGGTTTGGGAATATCTAGTACCAGCAGTCCTTTGACAACACCTGGTTAGTAAATATAGAATGTATCACTGCATACTATAGTTTAATTAATTAATGAAAATTGCTTGACAAAATTATCCTTTTTTTTTCCTTCTTTGTTTTGTTTGTTTGATTCACTTACAGGTTTGGGAATATCTAGTACCAGCAGTCCTTTGACAACACCTGGTTAGTAAATATAGAATGTATCACTGCATACTATAGTTTAATTAATTAATGAAAATTGCTTGACAAAATTATACTCCTCCTCCTCCTCCTCCTCCTCCTCCTCCTTCTTCT